TTCCAAGAGCTTTGACCCCATGGTGACTCTAGGTTTCTCTCCCCTAAAGATAGCTTTTGGGGTTGCGGCAGCTCCAATAAGGCAATGGGGCCTGGGAGGGCAACCGGGTAACCCCCTTGGGCAAGGGGCCGGCAGTGAACTTGCACGCATTTTAGGATGTCTCCCAACGATTTTTTATTAGCTGGCCAAAGGAGAACATAGGGGGGATGGGGCATGTGAAGAAACCTGGTCAGAGGAGAAAGCTGTCACAGCAGCTGCATATGAGAGGTGGTTTTATGGGTGGTGGTGGGTTGACAGGCCTAATTAAATGTCAATAGTTATTGTAGAGGGGGGGGGAAGGGGTAGACTTTGAATGGAGATAAGGGATGTAGGAAAGTAGGGTTGTCAGGGGAGTTCCCCTCTCAGAGGAGAGGGGAGGGGAGGTTGAAGCCATCAGTGATAGATCTAGGGGCACTTTTAAGAGTAGAGGGGCATTAAAGAGTTAAGAGGAGGCATTTCTGTATCCTAAAACTTCACCATTAATTGTTCTTCTTTACTTTTCTTTGCTTGTTTTTCTTGGTGACTCTCTATGTTGCTTTTTGAACTCTTTGTATAATATTTTTACCAAGACTCTGCTAGTGTTTCAAAAAGAAATTTCTTAGAACAACAATAATCACTGTGAGACTTTTGAATTGGAAATTTTAAGAGAAATTCCTCAAAGAATGACAGAGCACACTTCTAAAGCTTATGGATGAGCTCCAATGTCTTCCATATTGAAAAACAAGGAGGGAGTAGTGTGGAGGTCTTTGACATGATGAGAAAGGAATGGGATGAGAGGAGCCTTCTTTTGCCGCTAGAAGTTGATCCAATAGTTTAGTTTGATTTTCCCAAATATTCAGCTGCACATGTTCTTGATTTCTGTTGCCTCTGCACATCTTACATCCTTGAATCCTTTTCCCTTTTGAGGACTAAGAACTGGACTAAATTGTGGCTTTGCTTGTTGTATCTTGCAATGCATTGTACCATCAGGCTGAGGTGAAGGGCTTGTATAAATAATACATTAGAACAATCACTCTTATAGGTTCCACTAATTGATTCAAATGAAACACATCTCTACTTCTATACTCAGTAGAAATCTCACTCTTATATTTTCTAGCAAAGACATTCAATTGTCAGTTGTTACTAAATTGGCAGCAGTGAAATTTTCACTCTCATTTTTTTGAAGAACTTGTAACAATTTATTAATGAATAAAGTGCTTTTTACAAAAACCCACAAGGTGTGGGTTTAGGCAGCCCACACGGGTGCTCAGATCTGGAGAATAAAAAATCAAGCAAAAAATAATGTAAAACACCTCAAGTCTTGGAAGTTATGTTGATAGAAGACGGTAATTTGGGAATAGAAAGAGGTGAGGATAGGAGACGGAGAGAGCGTATGGAAATAGAGCAGAGAGAGTGAAGAGAAGACAGGTAGGGTAGAGAGAGAGAGAGGTGGAGGAAGAGTGAGTTGGGTGGAGAGAGGAGAGAGATAGAAGAAGGGGGAGGGGCGAGAGAGAAGAAGTGAGAGGATGTTGGAGGGGAAAACAGAGAGGGGATGGTGGGGAGAGGAGAGAGAGAGAAAGGAGGATGGAGAGACCATCGAGTGAGCAAAATTTGAGATGTGTGAACCGCGAGAGTTGTGGAGGAGGGAGAAGACTTCAGAGAGTAAGATCACTGAAGTAGGCATCCCACGTACTGGGGCTCTATTCGGAAACCAAAAAATAAAAGACTGAGAAACATTGAAAAAGTTACAACTGGAAATAAGTGGTTCGATTATGGCTCTGTTTTTTGCCATTGAATCAGCCATCTAGTTTACCTCTGGCCAAGTGTGCGGGAGTCGGCTTGAAGGGGCATGTATACGTCTATGTCATTGTAATATCAAAATGTTTCATATGTCTGTCATTGCAATATTATAATGCTGAATAATTTTTTGCTTTGATGTCTTTGTGATTCGTGTACCTGGTTATAGATGGCTTGGTGCACATCGGGTCTTCGAGATTAATCTCGGAATTGCATTGATTTTCTTCATGACCAATAAAGATACCTCCTGAAGCAGAGGATATCATATATTTGGTCAAGAGTTAGAAAGGAACCAAAATGGAACAGAAAATGCTTACACGTCCTTCCTATGTGGGAAACATAGGACATCATTTTTCCTATGCTCCTCCCAAATGGAGGCTTGAGAGGATCGTCAGGGAGTTCCATCTTTGTTGTTCCTACTCTTGTAGGATTTATCTTGTGATAATGCAAGTCTTAATTTATGTCAGTCTTGCACAAATCTATTCCTAGCAACTGAACTAGTCATACTGGAGAAAAGAACATCCATAAATTGTGATGAAGGCATTCTGAAAGTTTCAGTTTGGCTTTGCGGGTCAAGCAGGTCCCTGCATCCTCTAATTTGGGTAATTTAGTTCATGCATGACAACAAATGTGTAGTGGGCTTTCTTTTCCTATTCCCATTTATAAAGGTTACATCTTTTTAGTGCCATTCAGACATTGTACGGTTGTCATTTAAGGGGAATGTGTCAGTTTAATGATGAACGTCGGTAGAAGCTGTTTAGTTTGAATTATAGTTCCTATTAATATAGTGTAGCTGCTTTCCCTTTTTGTTGTCTTGCCATTTCTGGGGACTATTCATGTTTATCTCCTTGGAACATTGTATATCTGCATAGAGGTATTCCCAATACTACTACATATCTGCGTAGAGGTATTCCCAATACATTGCTGGGTGTTTTGCATAATGATACTTTTGTTGGTACTTTGATGGCTTGCTGTGGCTTTTTCATTTGTTTGTGTGCCTTTGTCTTTGTGTATTTTAAGTTTATGATATGAATGTTTTAGTCTTTTAGATTGTGACAGTTTTAATTCTTGGATGCATTGCCTTTTCTACCCTTTGAAAAAACGGCTCATGTTTCTTGCATTGTAACCCTGAAAGGCTTCGTATTGTGGTCTTCGTAATGTGACTTAGCACTAGACTGCATCAACTGATGCACCTTCTAACCAATTTCTAAAGATTATCGTAGTCCCTATATCTTTTTAGTCTGTGATGAATGTTCACTCTTTGGTGTATTTGGTTGATGGTTCCACTTGATATAAAAAACATGGCTTCACTCTGTGCTACCAACAAATCTTTCAACCTAACATGCTTCATGCAGTAAGTTACAGATCCTTAGTGTAAACATCTCTTTCAGTTTGTCTGTAGCCTTTGCTAAGGTACTGGCATATCAGAAGCATGCGGTCTCTTCGAAAGTGAAGATACAAATCATATAAGTTGAATAGTAGGGTCTCCTTTCAAATGATAGCTTATTTTTGGATGGTTTTTCTCTTTTGGTCGAGTCATGTGACTCCTGCTTGTGTTTCAGTAACATAGAGCTCTTCAAGGTTGACAGCTTTAGCATACTGCTAACAGAGCTAGGAATTGTCCAAGTTCTTTTAAGTACATTTTTGATGCCATCGAAAATTCCTACTAAGTCAGTAAATACTACATGGTACCTCCGAGCTGCATTTTGCTTTCTTTATATGACTATTTCTTTTCAGGGCTGCTATTCTCTCCTATGCTTTTGCTAGTCCCACCCAAGAACATGGGTTCCAGTACCAGTTGCTTGTTTATTTTATTCCAATCCATTTTTTGGGGAGGAAGAGTTAAATAAAGAATTCGTAGAATGGCAGACATTTCTTTTTTTCTCTTTTGATCGGGTCACGTGGCTCCTGCTTGTCATTGAGTAACAGAAAGCTCTCTTCAAGGTTGACAGCTTTGGCATATCGTTAATAGAGCTAGGAATTGTCCAAGCTCTTTTAAGTACATTTTTCATACCATCCAAAATTCCTACTAAGTTAGCAGTACTACATGGTACCTCCGAGCTGCATCTTGCTTTCATTATATGACTATTTCTTTTCAGGGCTGCTATTATCTCATATGCTTTTGCTAGTCCCACCCAAGAACGTGGGTTGCAGTTCCAGCTGCATGTTTATTATATTCCAATCCATTTTTTGGGGAGGAAGAGTTAAAAAAAGAGTTGGTCGAATAGCAGACGTTTCTTTTTTTCCTTAATCAAGAATATGAGTGGTTTTTTTTGTTTTGTTTTTGGGTGAGTCAGTGGGGAGAGGGCCCCTACCCTTTGTAGGAATTGAGCCTAGGACGTAGCATTGCAAATCATCAAGTGCTAACAGAATATGAGTGGTTTAGAATACGGTGATTCTACTTTTCAAAATTGTATCTTAATACGTAATGGACTTTATTCACTTCTTTGCTTATTGCTCTTTTATTCAGTTGTAAAGCAGACATGTAACTTGTCTGCAACTCTGCTCTGTAAACCTGAGACCTGTTAGACTTGTTCAGGAATAGAGAAACCAATTGGACTTTATGTTACATTTGAAATTGGCTTTCTTGTTTTGACTGCTTTTGCCATCTTTTCCTTTCAGTTATACCCTGGTTTTGTCCAGAACTAACCACAAGGTCATATGATTTTTAATTGTTCTTATTTTTGGTCAATTTTGTTTGAGTGCAGATGGACTAGGGATTATCTCAGCAAATCATTATGATTATGACTTTTTCTTGATATTATCTATTAAATAGAGAATGCATCTTCATTCCTCAGACCATTATATGCTGTATATTTAACATGAGGTTCTCCCTATTTTAGGGATATGCTCCTTTTTATCTGCTAGGATTTCACATGGGAGTGTCTTTTAGTACAATTTTTTTGAATTGATAAACAGTATCTTTCTGTCCATTGAAATAAAAAAAAGGGGAACACAACTAGACATTTGCTTTCTGAATGCATGGTGCTCTTGAGCTCACTTTATTGTAATTGTGTGGGCCTTTATCATGTTGCTTCCATAATTATACTAAGTTTATTTCTGCATCTCAAAGAGCTCAGTTTATTGTAATTGTGTGGGCCTTTATCATGTTGCTTCCATAATTATACTAAGTTTATTTCTGCATCTCAAAAGTCATGTATGAATTATGTATGAATCAATTTCAGGGACACAAAAGTTATGTTCCAAATATGATAAGTGGTGCATCCCAAGCAGATATTGGAGTTCTGGTATGCATAAGCTATTCATCTCATTCTGTTAACATCTCTTGTGACACGTCATGTGGGAGTATCTCGGTTAACTTGAAGACATTGGTATTGGTTCTTAGGTCATATCGGCCCGCAAAGGTGAGTTTGAAACTGGATATGAAAGAGGAGGGCAAACACGGGAGCATGTTCAACTCGCTAAGACATTGGGGGTTTCTAAATTGCTAGTTGTTGTTAATAAGATGGATGATCCAACAGTGAATTGGTCCAAGGAAAGGTGCGTGGTGTGGATTTTTTTGGTTTCTTACTATTTCAGTAGTCTTAGAACTACACTTAAATTTATGAACAATACTTTTCACAGGTATAGTGAAATAGAGTCAAAGATGACACCATTTCTAAAATCTTCGGGCTACAACGTGAAGAAAGGTAGTTGCAGGATCTTATGCCCTTTGGATTTCCCTTCGGTTTAATGTAGGGTTCTTCTCTTTATTTCTTTATGATTTATGATGAAACTTGCAGAATTTTGCATGAGACCTCATTAAGATGCTGCCTTCAATGGGAATATCTATGTGGGAACACACTCTAAACTCAATTCTGAAGGGATAGCTTGTGACCTTGTCTGCTCGCTTGCCTTGTTGGTGGTGGCACTATTGACATGATTGATCCCCACATTGCTGGTCGTAAGGCCTTTTTCCCATTTGGCATCACGCTGGCTGGGTTTTCCTTTTCCTTTATTGTTTTTTTAATCCGTTTGCCTGCTCCTATGGTTGTCTGCTTGTCTCCCCCAAGTGACTTCAATGGACAGGAGCTAGGAGATTGAGTAGTCTCTATTGGTGGCTGCCTATCTCTTAGTTGCTAGGCCCTAGACTGTACGCTGGACACTTTAACCCAAGCTGTGGGTCCTACTGGGGACCTTGTGTTGGGTTCAGTCACTTCCCCGCTCAGAAAATGTTGGAAGACCAAAATACAATACTATTGATCAATAGAAGGGTGAGAAATGTTTTCAGGGGTTAGGTAAATCTGCTCCAGAAGCTCTCTCATGGATCATTTTGTAAGCTCTAGGAATATTCAATTGCCTGTTCTTTGTTTTTTTGGAAATTATGCATTTCCTAAAGAGTTCACATGTTCAAAATGACTACCCTTTTTGGGATTTCATGCTTCTCCATTATTCCCAGAAGATCGAGATGGATGTCTTATGGTCATTTTGGTCCTTTCTCAGGACTTCTGAAGACCTATTCAAATTTAAAGCTCGTCTTGTATTTTTTATTTCCCATGAGTGTTAAATTGATGGATTCAGGAAGCATGGTGTTATTCTTGATCCAAAAGATAAACTTATGGAAAATAGAGAACTTTGTAGGAGCTGGGAGGACAGGTAATGTAGGGTTTCTGACAGGTAACAGCTGTTTGCTCGCTACTGCCGTAACCTTGTTGGATAAAAGGGTTTTTAGATGTTGTTAGTTGGCATTGAACCTACATAAAATGAGTTAAGAATGCAATAAAGAGGCCATTGTGCGTACATGTGAGATTGGGATTGTGTAATAATTTCCCAAGATGAAGATGCACTACTGGACAATGGTTATGTAGGCACTGGTGCCAATACAAGTGGGTGGTACTTAAGAAAGACCTTACTGTATGAGTGTCATGGATGTACCTTTTCCTGTTATGGAAGCCATAATGAAGAAGGTAAAAGGAAAGTAGTTTCTACTGAGATTTGGTATGAAAAGAGGATTTAGATCAACTATACCATTACATGTTGATGGGGTTTTATTGAGAGGAATGGTTTTCAATACTAGTCAATAGGCTGCTTTGGGTGGTGAAGGGATAAGGGTCCCCAACATTTCACGAGTTGGGGGATTGGCTCTTGAAGAAGTGTATATAGTTGAGGAGATTTAAAATATGCATAAAAAAGCATTGGCAATAGTTAGATTCTGGTTATGTGCCCTGATAACTAGTGTTCTCTACATCTTGCAAATGTGATTCAGTTGCCTAGCAGAAGAATAACGAGGAACTGGGATTTCATTATTTAATAATCAGACTGGTGTGAAATGATGATCATGAAGATAAGAACAGAATCTTGAGAATATAGGAATGGGGACCTTTCTCGTGGACACATGATTCCTACATGTTTCACTGGTGCACTCAAAGCAAGATGTCTACCCTGGTTGCATCATCACTGCAACTATGCTCTGTAGTATATATGCACCATATCTGATCCTAAATTACGTTTTAGCTTACAACTCAAGAATCCTGACTCTAGAGTGTTCTGTACCTCTGAGAAAAAATGTATTATATATGACATATTTATAGCAGTATATCATATGTCTGTCCTCATCAACAGTGGTGATGAGCTTTGTTCCAGTTTAAATTCCACTGTTGTTTGTTAGAGGAACTCTCGGCCTATTGGAATAGAAGGATTTTTTATGCCCTGCTCTGTTCTCACTGACTATCTTCCTCCAATAAGGCTAGATTCTCAGGTAGGGTTCATCTTTCTTTACCGGAAACTCCTCCATCCCTTAGTTCTTTGAATATGTGGCTCTCCTCCATCGTCAGTTAATGAGACCAGTAAACAAAAATTTGCCCGCCTGGCTGCCTAGGGGGCAATCCCTATTAGGAAATATGCTAGGGCTCCCGCCTAGGCACCCTATTGATACAGGCTGTTGGCCAACGGCAATTGCACTTCCAGGAGGGGGAGGGGGGGTTTTTGGGGGTATTTTAGCCGCTGGAAACTCTTTTCTGCTAATTTTCTCCATGAGAACACTCTCAAGTACAAGATATTGAGATCTTCTTGAAGATTGAAAAAGACATCACACTATTTGATTTATTGCGGAATGAAAATGTATCCAATCTGAAACTTTTTGAGACTTGAAGTGTTTCCACCATAGGTTTTTCAACAACCAAAGATCACTGATTAAAGTCAAGTTCGATTTGATTTTGCGAGGTGAGTTTGTTTCATTTCTTGTTTTAGGGTTTGGTGATATTCATAAATTATAAAATTTGGATTTTATTTGCTTTTTTTTTCTCCTTCAATTTGGTTATTTTTATTTATTTATAATAAGAGTTGCCGATATATTAAGTAATACTAAATTATGTTCTGCAAAAAACCATGAGATGTTGGTGGCGGCATCCCACATGTCGGGTGCTCAGAAGCTTACAATAACAAGGAAAAAGGGTGAGAGAGATGGAAGATAATGGTGCAAAGAGAGGACAGAGATAGTAAGGGGTGAGAGAGAGGAACTTAGATAAAGGAGAGATAGAAAATGAGGTGAGAGGAAGAGTAGCAGTAGAGAGATGGAGAGAGAGAGATAGAAATTGGGGCAGAGAGATAGATGAAGGGTAAGAACTGAGGGAGGAAGAGTGTGATGGGAGAAGAGATAGATATAAAAGAAGAAGGTGGTTGGGAGAGAGTGTTCGGGATTGAAGAGAGGGGAGGGAGATATAAAATAAAATAGAATAGGAGGAGCAAAGATAGAGAAAGTGGAGGGAGAGAGAGAAAAACTACACTTGGATGGATGTGGATGCTAGAATGGCCCCTTGTGTTGTGGGCGAATCAGCTGCTGAGTTTATCGCTCATGAGTTTATCTCTCACTAACTATGATGGAAGTCGACTTGAAGTGGTCTTTGTAAATGAGCAATATGGTTGAAAATTTGGGCTAGTCTCCAGGCAGTTATGATGTGTCCTTTGCCGTGATATAACATTTGTGGACTTCGCCTCTACAAGCAAATGATTCTCCCTACCAGATTGAATCTCTTGAGAGCTTAGAGGATAGCAATGACTTTGGTCTAGTTGGAATCGCCAAATCCAATATGGGTGGAGAATGATTCAGAGGTGGTCCCTTCCAAATCCATGAAAATTCCACCCACACCGAATTGGCCCGGGTTTCCAGGGGAGCATCCATTTATATTGACCTTGATGGTTCCTTGAGGAGGAGGGGTCCGTACATTGGATTGTGAGATTTTGGTTCTTTGGATATCCTTCCAATTGTTTAATGCGTTTTTTTCCCTGCATTTTTGGCTTTTGATTACTGGCACTTATTGAGTGTGGGTTTCATTTTGAATTTTTTGACATTTTATTGAGATTGGCTAACTCAATCCTGAAATAATGTCAATAAACTCAAGCATGCTATGTTTTCTTCTACTTTATTAGTCCTTAGATTATCCAAAGATTGAAAATGGGCAATAATTTTTTTTTATTTATTTATTGCGTCTTCTTAATTTTTTGGGTGATTTATTTTTATTTGCTATTAGTGACTTCTATTGTTGCACAAGGATGAATTTTGTGCAATTTTCACTAATTTAAAGTTTTACTCATTCAATTTCAAGTTTCTAAGTTACATATGTCTGTTGAACTGCACAAGAAAATAGCACGCACAGAAAACTGTGAAAATACATTGAATCAGGGGGCTAGTAACCTACAGAGACCCCCAGAAGGGTGCTGCCTCCCAAAGTCTCTCTTTTCCTCTCTTCTGTGGTAGCCTGCCCAGGTATCTGGGTGTTGCATTGGTGGCCAAATCTGCCTTCTTGAACACGAATGAGGACAGATGTTGGAGGGCTGGTCGATGTACCTATACCAGGCACAACATGTATTGGATATGGGCGCGAGATCTAGTTCATACATGAGGAAAACTGATGCGATGTCCTCTAGTCGTGGCACGGCATCATAATTTATTGCTATTCACAAATATAAAATAGGTTTGATGTGTTATACTTCTAATTGTGGCACAGCATGATAATTTATTGCTATTTCACATATATAAATGAGGTTCAATATTCTATCGGGTATAAGAAAGCAAATGTCCTTCTTTCCGTACTTAAATAATACAATTAACATTTGTTATTGTTATGGGCTTTGTGTTCGTTCTTAGTATTTTTTTTTTCTCTAATGTTCAGTATTATGTAGTCAGCATCATCTTGAACTAAATTTTATGACTAAGAAATAATAAAAAACATGTTCTAATAAGTCTATGTTTTCGGAAATCATGAGCAATTCTCTTTAGACTTTGGAGATAATTTGGTTGCTTTAGGGACATATTTAAACTGATTCGTCTTCTTGCTGTCTTTTTCATGTGGAGCTGTTTTGAAATCAATCTCTGAAACCCTTAATGGATTTTGCAGATTGTCAGTTTCTTCCATTATCTGGTCTATTGGGTTCTAACATGAAAACTAGGATATCAAGTGATGTATGTAACTGGTGGAAAGGTCCGTGTTTGTTTGAGGCCTTGGATTCCATTGAGGTTCCTCTACGGGATCCTAAAGGTCCTCTCAGGTGGGCAGTGCACTCAATACTCCTTGCATTATCTGTATGATCTTATTGTTCTCATAATTGATTTTATCTATATATGGTTGAGTTTATGATCTTATTGTTCTCATTATTGATTTCATCTATATATGGTTGATTTTAATGTAATTGTCTTCTATGCCCCGTATGACTTTTATGTCTTTCCAAATGCAGTATTAAATTGACATTCTAAAAGTTAATGGAAGCTTCAATGGTTTCTTCCATGTTTGCTTATGGGCGAACAAGTTATTTGTCTCAAGTGTATTTTTGAGTTTTTGACTAGAGAATAGGAAAGACGAGCCATAAATTGTTAGATTCTCCCCATAAAGACCAAAAGATTCCATTCATTTCAGAGAAGCTCTGTCCCACCATGCGTTGGAAACAAGCCGTTGCAGGGAAGGCACCTGCTTGGTTTGGTGTGTTGGAGCTCGCTGTACCTAACCTATTGAAATGGTCTCACTGGCATAGGCCTACGTGCTTGCTGAGAGATCAGCAACCCCTGTTGTCATAGAGACGCATGAAATGTAGGGCTGTCGGAGTGGCATGTTGAAATCTTACGGAAAAAAAGCGTGCGTGACATTATATGTATTGTGAAGATAAGGTTTAGATCATGTTATAACCTGGTTGGTATCCTATGCATAGACAAATAATTTATTTTTCTCCTCTCCATGTTGTGTTGAAGGGTCCTTCGCAACCCTTCCTATTTTTATGGGGACAATTTGTGAGGATCAATTGTGTAGGAGTTCTTGGCTTGATTTTAATGTTTTATCTTCTATGGGATCCATTTTTTTCATGCATATTAGTTAGCTACATGCCTACCCCTTCATACTAGTTACACTCTGCTTCTTATTCTCGTATAAATATCATGTATGTTAAAGGTCTTTTCCTTTATTAATCACCAAGTGTTTCAGAAATATCTGACACTCTGCCCATTATTCTCGTATAAATATCATGCATGCTAAAGGTCTTTTCCTTTATGAATCATCAAGTGTTTCAGAAATTTTGATCTGGATTGGAATTGCCTAATTTGGGTTGGGATCTGTAGGTCCTTGGTCCGATCTCCTTATGGAATCGGAAATCGGCCCAATATGGATTTAATCACCTCGTTTTGTCAGTGAAGTAGGCGATTTGATTGGGGAATCGCCGATGCTTCTGTGTACTTTTTTTTTGGCTCTTTTTTGCATAATAGGTTGCAATCTGCCATATTCGATTTTTCTTTTCTCACTTATCTTCCCTGAACTTGTCTTTATTTGTTCTTTTTTTGAGTCCACTACAAGATTTGGAACACTATCTTTTGATCCCAACCCCTTCTCGATGAAATTGGAAGTTCAAAAGTTGGGGTGTATTTGCTTAATCCTCTACGTTCGATCTCTCCCTCATTTCTCCTAATTTTGTTTTTAATTTTAAATACATGATTACTAGGTGTACTGTAAATCAAATCTTCCATTTTTGAATGGATTTTGGGGAGACTTGGAATCAAGTCTCTGGCATATTAGAGCCTACTCTTGGATAAGATTTGAATCAGCTTTGTAGCCGGTTGATTTGAGACAAAAACTCTGTTCCAAGTTCAAAGGATATTTTAAGTTCTATCAAATGTTTGATTGATTGCGTTTAAATAATAGCGGTTTTTTATGTCTATCAAAATGTTCTCTTATTTGCTGGATCATAACTTAGAGAGAACAGAATGGAAAATTTAAAGTTACATTTAAAAAAAGTAATAATTTACAGTTTGATATTTATCATGGATGTTTAAAGTTTGATGTTTATCGTGCTTAAATTAACAGTTCGATATTTATCAAACTTCTTTTGAGAGTAAGTTTTGAAATGATGAACAAAAATGATTTGTAGTAGTGATATTTTACATTTTGTTTTTTATTTTTTTGCCCGTGGTCACCCAAATTGGGTGATCCAGATCAGAATCGCTGATCTGAATTGGTCTAGTGAAGGACTGATTCAAACGAGCTGTCCATTTTTTGAAACACTGGAATCAACACTTGTTGATTAATTAGCTCTGTTATTTCCACTCTTAATTTCTGGATATTCATAGCAACCTTTACTTGAAACCATGAAACTTTGGAATTGGAGGTATCTCCTGGCACATTATATGCTTTGCATTTTTTATAGAAATAGTATTCATAAACCTTCTTTTACTTGGATTCTTTAGAATATAACATTTTCCCAAGTATTGTTTACAAAGAATTATGACTAGCTGCTTGAGTGACTGTTTCTTCAGTATCAATTTTGTTTGGATTCTACGATTTAAATTTTCTGGATATGTTGTGCGATCAGTTTGCTCGGTTACTCTTTGCTGTGTAATTCATAATGCTCATTGGCATGATCTACTATAGACTGTTCGTTATGATGGAAAAATGATGACTGCTTTTACATGATCATATTTGTTTCCAGGATACCGATAATTGACAAATTTAAAGACATGGGAACAGTAATTATGGGCAAAATTGAGTCTGGCAGCATCTGTGAGGGTGATAACTTATTGATTATGCCCAATAAGGTTGCATCTATTTCCTGTTATATTGTCTATTTTTTGTAGCTTCTTTCATTTGAACTATGAAGAGAATGACTAGGTTTTCCACTGATTGACAGGCTCAAGTCAAAGTGCTTGCTATTTTTTGTGATGAAAATAGAGTAAGAAGTGCAGGGCCTGGTGAAAATGTCCGTGTTAGATTATCAGGCATTGAGGAAGAGGATATATTGGCGGGGTTTGTCCTTTCAAGTGTTGGTATGTTCATGGCCATATATTTATGTATCTATGGTTCAAGCTTTGCATTTCCCTTTCTTCTTTCATCAAGGTGGTGGCAGGCTATGATGCACGGGTACTTGAATATTCATAATGTACCAATGTCATATTTTGTCATGCTGATGCTCGTTACTTCTCAGATACTTGTAGATATAAAATGACAAATAAAGATTATAATGTGAAGAAAACATAATATGTTTGAGAGAAGTGAAGAAAACATAATATTATGCAGTGTGGTGTGGTATTTATATGCATCAGTAACAAGATGCATAAATCCACACATGTTATAGAAGATGTAATGCATATTTTGATAGGGTAAATCTTAGGTTTAGAAGGCTAAAATTACAAGCCTATGATTGGTTGAACCTTCCATTTTCCTAAAGACTGTTGGAACAAATCTATATACAATCTATAGTGAATATGAGAATCTGAGAAGACTTCATGATAGATCATTGTTGGAATGGTTGGTCCTGCAAGATTTAGCCGAGTCAAGTCGAATAGTCCTAGGTGACTTGAACAAGTCTGTCCAATCCAAGAATGCAAAGTGGTTGTTTGACTTAGACTTGATAATCGAGTGCCAGATTTATCCGACTAGGTGTGTCCATTTTTTTATCCAGTCCATTGTACATATTTGTATCATTTAATTTAGTTTGTGTTTGAGCATGTGAGCATCATGTGTCTCATGCCTGCATGTGTGTCTCATGCACCCTCAAGTGGCTGTCAATGTTTTTTTCATATTCAATTAAAAAGTATTTGTTTTCAGATATTCTCGACACCCTTGTGTTGATGGATGAGAAAGCGTATCCTTGGTCTTGTCATCTTGAAGCACGTTTTTGAGATAATTGCAGTATTGATTGAATGAATACGACAATTAGTCTGAATCTCTCTATCAACAAGCATGTCTATGGAAATAGGTGTTTTTTTGTTTCTATATGCAACTTATGTTGCTAATTAACTAAGGGCATCTTCCATGACCTGTGTTACTGAGAAGTTTGTTCTTGGTGGTGATACAGCGAAGCCAATATCTGCAGTTTTTGAATTCGATGCCCAGTTACAAATCTTGGAGTTGCTTGACAATGTGTGTAGGAGATCTTTTACCTTTCGAACTTCTACATAACCTTTTATTTTCCTTTTTTTTAATGAGTTTTCCTTCATGTAAAGCTCAAATCTATTTGCGTTATGGAAGCCATGTCTTTATTGCAATGCTTGGAAATTATTCTTATTGTTTGAAATGTCAGGCTATTTTCACTGCGGGTTACAAGGCAATATTACACATTCATTCAGTGGTTGAAGAGTGTGAGATTGTTGAGCTGTTGCAACAAATCGATCCAAAAACAAGAAAGCCGATGAAAAAGAAAGTACTATTTGTGAAAAATGGAGCAATCATAGTTTGCCGTATTCAGGTCTGGCCCTCTCTAGATTTTATGGTTTGGCAATATGTCTCTAGTCAACTATTTTCCTAATGCATTCTCCTGTATGTGTTTCATGTGTAGGTGAATAACATGATTTGTGTTGAGAAGTTCTCTGATTTTCCCCAGCTTGGGAGGTTTACCCTTCGTTCTGAAGGTAAGACTGCTCTGGAAAAACATATGGCCCACATGGAAACGAGTCCACTTATTTTTTGGTATTGGGAATGATGATGTTACTATGTTTCAGGGAAAACTATTGCGGTTGGCAAAGTTATTGATCTTCCTAGTTCAGGAAGTTCAACTTCTTCTGCAGTTGTCTAGGCCTAAAAGGTATGCAATATGCTCATCTTGGTGTTATGGCTAGTTTGATATATTGGTCAACACACCAAATTAAGGCTTTGTTAATCTACTTATGGTTTGTTTCTTGATATATTATTGCATCTGGTGTCTTGAAGTTGATGGGTAACCTCTCACATACCACTTTCAATTGCACTCTTATTTTCATAATGCCATAATACAAACCAAGGGTTTAAAAAACGGATCGGTGCCCCAGATCAGGCACCCCAAAAACCCATCCTGATCGGTGAATCGGCAATTCAGATCGGGAATTGGTCGAATTGGTCGGATTCAGCCTTAAAAAAATCCAAAAAAATTATTAAAATTCATTATAAATGTTGTTTTTTAGGAACCAATAAGAAATGGGGGGTTACTCCATTAAGAACTTTCACTTTTTTGCATCAATGTGCAAATATTGAGATGTTTTTTCTCTGTATGAACTACTGTTAACTATTAAATTTACATCATACAAAAGGAGAAGCATAGAATTATTATGGATGAAGTATATTATCATACATGAACTACAATAAAACATACAATTCGTAAAATACGACCTAATACCGTATTTTTTACTGAATGGCACCTAGTGAGGGTGCTTTTAGTCCTACACTTTTTGCAAACTTTTACTGTTTTAGTAATACAATGTTAACAGTTCTAAAAAAAAAACGACCTAATACCAAAATGAAAGATGATGTCACTCTTCATCTTGGTCACGCTGGTGCACAATTCATTGACTCGATCTAGGAACGAATCATCCAAATTAATGGGCACTTGACTATGCTCAAATCCTTGTCTTTCTTCATCTTGGTTATGCTGGTGCACAATTCATTGACTCGATCTACGAACGAATCATCCAAATTAATGGGCATTTGACTATGCTCAAATCCTTGAGTGTTAGTGTTTTGTTGCGCTCCTAATCCAAAATCCCTGAAGCTTGTCCATCCTTCATGCTCACCTACACTGTCGTGCTCGCCCCTACCGTCTTGCTGTTGGGATTCGGTCTTTGAATAATTTGGTTGGAATAGGGTGGCCTCAGAATCATCATCTCTTATTTTCCCTTATACCCCCTTCCCACTCTCTCTTATTAGGTGCAACACCACCGACATCTCCAACAAATTGTGGATATGTTGGCGGATTGCTTCCTCTTTCACGCTGCTCATCACCTTCTTCATGATCTTCCTCATCGATAGCCTCAAGGAACGTTCTCTTGTATAACACTTACTCCTTTTCCTCTATTACCCATTGTTTTGCTGTTGTCTGTGACAAATATTGTATCTAAGTCTATTGGCCCGTAGTCTTCAAGCCTCCTTCTTATTTGTCGCTCTCAGAGGTTTAGGTTGTAATAAATGTAGACTAGCTTATGAAGCTTCTCTGAAGCGAGTCGATTCCTCTTAGCAGTGTGCAACCATTGGAACGTACTCCGGTTTTGCTCACACCCAGTAGCAGAACTTGTCTGGGAGAGCACCTTGATTGCTATCCTCCTTAAGTGAGGTGCATCACTGCCATATATCTTCCACCATTACAGTTGGATTACAATGCAAAAAGCATTGTAATGGCAAGAACAATTCATAAGATTAAAGATATGAAAGAACAAAATATTACTTAAGGGGTAACTTGGATCCATCTTAGTTCTAGAATTCCTTACACGCCTAGTTCCAAATGATCCTACAACATCCCTATACGTAGAAAGCTAAAGAAAAATATTTCGTTTTAGTACATTAGTTATTCCTCACAAATATAACAACTCCATGAAGCTCTTACACGAATATTAAATCTTACCTCTTGTATTGCCGCCACCTAGTTTCGATGGCTTCTCTCCAGCTCGACAATAATGTATCTGACCCTTTCCATAATCTTTTGGGGATGGTTAGGTGTCAAATAAAAAAAAAAATTGGTTGAATTGGGTGGCTCAATTTGGTGTCCCACCTTCTTTTTATAATCTCGATCATTTTACTAGTAAAACCACGCTTCTCCCCAATAGTTGATTTGGCCCTCTCGATACCAAAACCTTATATCTGTGACCATGCCCGCCACTTTTAGCCCATTTTTGGACTTCGAGAGGCGGTTGTTGGACCACTCTTCGCTGGTAAACAATCTCTTCAAGGCATCTTGGGATTCTCGAATGGAGTCTACATCCAAGTAATCTGTCGCAAAGCGGGTTATGGCAGGCTTAATTATCTCTTTTTTGTCAGATTGTTCTCTGAACAAAAATAAGATTTTAGAGTGGTTATATATAAATCTTGACACGAACCTTGCTGCCTCTAAAGTCTCCTTCACAATTTTGATATCGCTGATCTCCTCTAACATAAGATCGATGTTGTGTGCAGCACATGGGGCCCATATTAAATGCTTCCTCTTATCCATCAACTTGTTGCCTGCAGAAACACAACCACTCGCATTGTCTGTAATAAACTGGACCACATGCTTATCTCCCACCTCATCAACTATTTGGTCATATAGTCGTATCAAGATGTTTGCATCCTTCTTTTTCCCTGATACGTCTTTGCTAGACAAGAAGGCTATACCTTTTGGGCAATAGGCCAAGAAGTTAAAGTATTCATTCTTGCTAACTTAAATGACCAACCATCACTCATGAGAGTAATGCTTGTTCTTGGCCAACCCTGTTTATAGTCTTCAATCCAATTCCTAACTTCCTCCACCTTTTCATCCAAGATCGGCCCACTGAGCTCATATACAGTCGGGGATTTTACTTCGAGTCCGGCTCTCTGGATTGCGTTGATCATAGGCGGGAAATATAGGCTCTACTAGAGCCGGAGGTGTTTTCCATGACCACCGTCGCAATATTCTCGTCATTTATTCCGAAGACTTAGGCCATAAAGACTCGCAGTACGCTGAAGCCATGGCTCTTCTCATGGGTCTTAAAAATTTTAACCTTTCTCTGGTGGAAGGGGATGTCCAAAATATCATCTCCTGAGCAGCATGCACTTCACATCCTTGGTACTTCTCTTCGATTTTTGACGAGATTGCTAACATATGCAGGGATATGAACGTCCTATGGAAGCATATTTGGCTGATGTCTAACTAGTTTGCTGATCTTCTTGCAAAAGTCGGAGCTAGGGCCCATGCTGAAGACCCCGCCTGGTCGATCTCTTTTTTTTGCCCTGGACCACAGAGGGTGTTTAGGCGCTTAGTTACACATATCTACAGATCTTGTAATCGGGCAAATCTATATGCCCCAATTTTTTTGTAGCGCACAAGTACATCTTTTGTAATCAGGCAGATTTAAAGGCCATTTTTTGTACAGGGTCTCTTGACCTATTTTTTTGATCGAGAGACCCGACTTGTGGGTACTCTCGGCTTTCCCCTTTTTTTGTACTCTAACACCATACATCAATACAAAAGTTAACTCTCTCTCTCAAAAAAAAAGAAACATGTGCTATTGGTTGTATCTAAGGGGATCCCTTTATCGTAGAACCATTTACTAGCATATATGCCCAACATGTTCCTTGTACCTTTCACCATGCCTTTGAGGGTCATTTTTTGTGACTTGGGCTTTGAGAGAAATGGGTCTATGTGGGCATGATCTGCAATACTGATGCTCTAAATAAGCAAGGAACAATTTCCTCAACGTCTGGTGCCTCTGGATACATTTTGCCACCAACCCTCCATACATATTCGAGCTGGGCCCGCCATACATGCTCGAGCTGGGCCCACCATGTATGCTCGAGCCGGGCCCACCATGCATGCTCGAGCTGGGCCCTTCATGCATGCTTGGGTTGGGCTTGTCATGCATGCCCATGCCATAACCACCAGGCATTCGGAACTCGTTTTCCCTCTGGTACATTTCGTGCAAGCTCATTTTTGTGGCCATCTCCAAGTCATAATTATATTGCTCTTCTGGATCCATCCCGCTCGATGGCGCATATAAGCCAGCTATCTTCTCATCCATCCTCTGCTTTGCTACATTTTTAGCCTTTGTAGCCTTGAGAATGACCGCCATCTGTTTTTTTACATTGCCAGGGACACTATTGCATGCATAAATATCTCCCTTAACCATTGCCAAGTGTTTTTTAACCTATATACAACACTACTAATCACTTTTTGGAAGTAATTACAAATAATTTTATCTTTTTTGTTAGGATCAAGCTTGACCCATGTTGCCATGCAGGGTCTTCCCTGGATTTTGTCATGGTTCAACTGTTTTAAGATGTAAATAGTTAAAAATGAACCTGACAATTCAACGTGAAAAATAATCACCATGTGTAGTGATAATGTGTAGGGCTAGTTCATAAAGTTATCTTTGTTGTTTATGCAAAATACTTCTAGTGGCAAAAATATTTGAGTTTCTACTGGCAAAAATATTTTATTGATGCAACATTATAGATAAAAATAGTTTGCATCAGCCAAACCTAGAATCAAGAAAAAAAACATATTTATAATGATATAGTATCAATAATTTTTTTTTTTTACAATGATATAGTCATTCATAATGCCACGACATGTAGACTCGCCACATATCTTCAACAAGCATGAATGACTTCCTATTGGCAAAAATATTTTATTTATGCAACATTAGAAATAAAAATAGACTATGTCAGCCAAACCTAGAATCATGAAATAAATAAATAAATTTACCATGATATAATATCAATGAATTTTTTTTTTTTTTTGATAAAAGTCAACATTTTATTGCTGGCAGAGAGTTACATAGGAGAGTGTTACAAGTAAGTGAGAGACTGAGATCACCCTAAAGAAGGGTGACTCAGTAAAAAATTGTGCTAACCTAACATGTACAAAAAGAGCTTATAGAGTGTCCCAATTACAATAATTTACATGAAGCTTTTCCAAAAATTCAACGGGGTAGAAAAATAAAAAACGAGCCATTTTAAGTCGTGAGCCCTGGTCTGGAGCAAAAAAGGAGACGGACCCGGGTAGCGCTTGTCCTTGGCCCTTACTTCTAGCACCCTCTTTCGCCAAGGTATCTGCGATGTCGTTGGAAGTCCTCCATATATGCCTCTAAGAGACGTCCATAT